AAAAAAGTTCTACTCGATAAGTCATAGCTGTCAGCGTCAATCTCACAATCCAATCAAGCAACTTGTCAAGGCATTTAATAGTTATCAGCTTGTAGAATATTTAAACAGAATTACAACCAATATCACGTTGCTAACAGGTACATCGATTTGCAGTTGTTGTCTAAATATGAATTATTTTAATTTTTTTCTCATATTCTAAATAATGATTAATACGACCGATAGTTCGTCCTCGTTCGTTACAATCCATGCGATCAAATGTCTAATTATCTACATTCTATACCAAGATGATATTTCGTACAGTAATAAAGAAAGGAACCATCCAATTTTACATTTAAACTAATACTTTCATTTTATATATCATCTGATCCTTCAGAATCTTTCCTCTTTCATTCTTATGACATTTTTTCATCAAAGAAAATGTTCTATATTTGTATTAGTTTATTCTTGTCTTGTATGTTTGCTATCATATTTTAGAATATTAGGAAAGAAATCTTCTTTATATGACTTAGACAAAAAAAGATTAATCATTTTAAAAATACTGTACGACGAATGATAATGAGAAATGGTGATTTAAGTAATTCACTGCGATCTAATCATATTGCATATATATGAGCAACATATTTTGCAAGAGAACTTTTTCGACAAACTGAGTATGAATAATACTTTTTTTTTCATTATATATATATAATATATAGATATGAAACATGTGATTTAGCTCGAATACCAAATTGCTTTTTATGTTTTATTTATAAATGATATGCGCACTGTATGAATAGAATTCACTGAACATTTTATACTTAAAGAAAATTTTGATCGTAATTATACATATTGAAAAAAATACTCAATAAGAATAAACAAATGTATTACAATAATAATAATAATAATAATAATAATAATAGTAATAATAATAATAATAATAATAATAATAAATATATATATGTATATTTTTTGAAAAAATGATTATCCTAAAGAATAATACAAAAATATGTTGTATGGAAAAAAGACAAGAACATGGGTATACAAATAGATGTTAGTCTAGTGTACTATCCCAACTAATATTTCGTCGTTTAGATGCTGACTGAAAACGATTAGTTGCTTTTAATATTGATCGATTGTTTGAATAATTTTCATCAAGTGTATCTATATCAAAAATATCGGTTTCTGATGTTGAAGTTGGTGAACATAGAGCAGTTTCTTCATCAGTTGTTAATTGCCAGATCATATTAGCAAATGTACGTTTACGTGCAGCAAATAAATGTTGATTTGTAATTAATTGTTGTAATTGTGGTGAATTAAGATCAATACCAAATTGATTAGCAACTGTATTTATTAATAATTGTTTATCAACATTAAATATTGGATTTGTTAAATGATTCGCAAAATATATTGGTTGATTACGATGACGACCAGCAGATATTATTTGAGGTTTTTGTGGTTGAATATTCATTGTTGATGATAGAATTTCAGAATTATTATTATTATTATTATTATCTGTTGTTGGAGGAGAATTAGGAATTGTTTGTCCTGGAATAACATATTGTTGTTGAATTTCAGATTCACGATTGTCAGTGATAGGATAATGAGCATAACCATTTGATTGATTTGGTTGTTGTTGTTGTTGCTCCTGTTGTTGTTGTTGTTGTTGTTGTTGTTGATTATCTACATTAACAATAGGTATATTATAATAACTGTCACGATTCGAGTTTTGGTGTATTAAAATAGGTATATTTTCATAGATATGTTCCGTAGGAACATTTAAGTTTTCTAATGACGGTTGAAAACTTGTAGTTCCTGCTGTAATTATTGATACTGAAGGTCTAATTATTTCTGGATTTGGAGAAGGAATATTTGTAGAAAGAAATTTAGGCATTTCTTTTTCAATAGTCGTAGATATACCTAGCGACAATGAACTTCCTTCAATAGAATTGAAATTAGATACCATTGGGCTGCCATTTTGTTTTGAATAAGATTTCCTATGATTTAAAGGAGTAGAATTATTTTGATTTCTTATTAATACTGGACGAGGTGGTGCTGATATGATTATCGGCTGATATTGTTCTTGAATAAGTGATCTATTTATACCATTTGATAAATCATTCACTTGAGAAGAGCTTTCTGATGATGTTCCTACAAAAAAAAAAAAATAAATAAAATAGCTTTTCTAATGTAGTGCTTCTTATTGTAAGAAGAGGGAAAAAGTAAAAGAATAGATCTTCTCATTAGAAAAAATGCCAGAGAAAGGATGAAGATTCATTCTTCATTTGTTAATACTCATGCATCTTTCAAAGTAGAGTTTCTATGTTGAGTTATTTGATAATAATTTTAAATCGGCTCGATAATGGCTAATGTAGTGTGTAGTCGAAACACTATCCTTAGTTTCTTTTCGTCAGAATCGTCGTTTATATCGTAGATATTTTGTTGATAACTTTGCAGAGTGATATTACTTTCATTTCAAGATCGTTTTTTCCTTCTTATCATCATTTCATTGACGATTAGTAGTATATTACATGAAAATTTGATATTGTTTGTT